CAACGGAGCTGTTGAAGCAATAGCAACTTTTTTGGGTAAGTAAAAGATCATTAGTAACTACTTCTAATTCATCGTATGCTGACAGCATTCTTCAGTAATGTCTTTGGTGCCTTTTTGTTTATTTCCTATAAGGACCAAGGTCAACAGCAACAGCCTCCAATATAAAACACACAAAGAGTGTGCAAAGCATGTTTTTGCTGCACAACTTTATCAGTGAGGTCTTCAAAAATAGTCTTAAAAAATACATAGATACAAGCTTTTCCCTCTTAGGGGTGTCTGATTTTGAAGTGTTTTAAGAGCTTAAGTTCACAGCTCTCTTTGGAACATTAATTTTTCTCCAAATGAAAAGTGATGGACCGAAGGAATAGGCCTGCCATGACTTTTTAAATTCTGATGAAGAGCACACACAATGAGCAAATGAAGTCCAATTTCGCACTAGTGTGCTAGCCTACCTGAAAACATCCAGGCAACTGCTACTCTCTGGACACTGATACCTCACTACTGTATAATCTGCCTGGACCCACAAAGACTTCTCTTTGCACTTGAGCTACTAACTTCAGTATATTGTGTTTCAAAGAGCTTTCATAAACCTACAGGAGCCTCTGTGCTAAAGGAGCATAAAAAAACCCACCATAGCTGGATAACCTTCTTACAGCAATAGATGGTATTTCTCCAGAACTGAGATGGGAAGAAAAGTAAACCTCATCATTATTGCAGAGATTTTTTTTTATTTTTTTTTTAAAAAGAAGCATTTGCAAATGCAGTTCATAAGATTTTTAACCAGAAACTTAAAAAGATGTTTTCATTAAAAAAAAACAAAAGCATGAAGGAGTGCAACCAGATTTTCATTTCTTTACATGAAGGACTTAAGCTCCATCATGCATATTTTAGCAGCAAATGGTTGGTGGGATTGTTCTTTTCTTTGCTCACAGTTGTCAAAAAATGGAGTAACAATGTACTGCACACTGCTGCCTCCAGCCTTAGGCATGAGGCACTTTCTCAGAATATTTCAGTCTCTAAAGGCTCTTTAAGCAAAGCAAAAAAAAAAAACCCAAAAACCCAAACAAACAGAAGACTCCCACACCACTAAATACAAAATAGAAGCCACACCACTATCAAAGCCCATTGTGGCTGTAACAGTCTCATGAGCTCCTGGCATGATACATTTACACAGTTATGCAATGGCTCTAGAAGGATGATAATGTTTCAGAATTTTAATTATTACTTTTAAATTTTTAGGCTCAGCAACATCGATGGCAGTTGGGTATGTCAAAGTAAACTGGGATCTCTGTGGAGAACTGGCTTTGGGAGTTTTCTCTGCAATGGATGCTGGCTCTCTGTTTCTCATGCACTTTACTGACAACATCTGGGCATGTTATGCTGGTTACCTGGCATTTAAAGCATGCTATATGCTCCTTATAACAATAGCAACGTAAGTATAATACACAACTGTTCTAGTTTAATTGATTTAAATCAGTGTCACATTAAATTTATCAAAATTTTACTGAAAGTTTTCCTGGATTAAGATTTTTTAAATAGGCCATGAAAACAGCATATATTATTTCCAGTTTATATAAAGCTATAATTAAAATTATATGACATACCAATTATAATAAGTTGCTCCAAGTCAGAAACTACCTTATTCTGCATTTAACTGTTTAATGATCTATGTACAAGTATTCTCTAAACGATCAAATGAACATACACAGGTCTGTCTAGCAAAAAAATCAACTCAAATAAGTAAAAGAGAAGTAGGATGCACAAAAGTACCAAAGCCAGAAAAACAAGGTATTTCAGCCAAAATGAAGCTGTTAAAGCTTAATAGCCAAGACTAAAGAGGCTTTATCCTACAAAGAATCCACTGTGACCATTAAATTGTTCTCAGACTTCCTCTCATTAGTAAATTGTCCATGTTCTCCACAGTTTAGTTAACCTGCACATTCATTCACAGGTTTCAGATTGCTGTCAATCTAAGCATGGAGCGTTATGCTTTGATGTTTGGCTTCAACAATTTTGTTGCACTGGTGATTCAGACAGTTTTAACTGTTGTTGTAGTAGATTCAAAAGGTCTGGGACTGGATATCAGCACCCAGGTAAGCCACACTACTCTCACTGCTCTTAGTTCTCCTACTCTCCTCCAAACGAGGGTTCTACCCAAGATTAGCCTTTTGGAAGACATTAGGTAACAGGCTAGCTTAGGACAGTTACTCACTTGAAATACAGGCTCATTTAAAGCAAACTGGCAGTAGCTACTACAACCTACTTTGTCCTCTAGTCCTGCCAATTTTGCATTTCTGCAATAATTTTTAAGAATATTTTCACAGAGCAGAAGGGAATGACCACCACCTATTACTCAGGGTTTTTTTTTATTTAAAGGCTTACTATTCACAAATTTATTTTCAAAATAGCCTAAACAGAAGCAGGGAGCAAGCCTAAAGGCAGTCTATGGGTCTATTACTAGGGTAATTCTAAGTTACATAATTTCATTGGCTGCATCTTTAAGTTACTGTAATTCTGCTAATTAAGTAAGCTCATGATTCCCCACTAATTCTCTAAATCTAAACTTTAAACTTACGTACTGAATGAGGTCCAAGTCTTTAGCTGCCATCTTTTTAGAGAAGAGGCAGAAAGTACAAGGCAGCTGTCCTCCGCCCTTTCCGAGGCAGGGGAGGAAGCACAAAACAGAGTATTCTCTCCTCTTCCTTTTACAACCACAGACCTCCTACAGTATGAAGTCAAGCAACCAGACCTCTTGAATCCTTTCAAGATGGTATCATTTTGGGGCATGGGTGACAGGGAAGGCAGCAGTGGAAGGACTCCCCTTAAGTTATTACCTAACAGCAAAAGCAGTTGTTGACTCTCCCTCCTTCTTCTCCATCTCCATTTTCCAGTTTCTCATTTATAGCAGCTACTTTACATTCATAGCCGGAATTTTCCTTATCAGAAGCATATACACCATTGTCGCCATCAAATGCAGAAATACCAGTGTGGCTGGTAAAAACACTGATGATTAACAAAGGAGACAAAAAGAATGGTTGCAAGCAACAGTGGAGAAGGCTGCATCAACTGAACAACAAATTAAGAGAAACATAAAGCTCAATCAAGCAAGACTGGTCAATGGCAAAACAGACTGTTTATAAGCCTGCAGCATAAAGAGCTTTGTCAACAAGATGATGCATTTTGCCCGATTTCTTCAACCAGTAGTTCTAATACCAAACAATCCTTAAACAATCTTCTATTTCAACTCAAATTTAATCATCTAACACCAAAACTTCTATTAATGCTCAATAAGCACAACAAGCAAGTGCATACAGATGCCTGAACCTCACAAAAGAAGAGCGTATAGAATGCAGCCTTTGAACTTTCACTTCTACTGAATATTTCAACTAAAAGGCAATTTAGTCATAGGCATGAGACCTTCAAACATTCCTAGAGAATCTAAAGAAGCAGATGCCCCATAGTAGCAAGATGATCTGGGAGAACACTTGCCACAGAAACCTTTTGAAAACTTAAGACTTTTTTAACTGGAAGTTGTGACATATATTTTTAAAGCAAGTTCACAAATAGCAATAAACCAATTTTTACCCAAAGACCCTACTTCTGTATGTTCAAAGGTGGATTACCGCAATGCTATATAACATAGTAATGCTGCCACTTTAGTTTACAAATGGCCAAATGCAGTCATGTCAGATTCCACACAGACAATACACTCCTCAGAAACCTGAAGTTACAGGACTGTAAGGAAAACATGTCATCATATACAGATAAACTGCTACTGAGGCAGTGACAGCTTTGCTGTGAATTTGTTGAATATGTTCAAATACAACACATCAACCTTTCCTTTAAGTGTCTCTCTTGATAAGCATATGCATTAATTATGTTTGACAACTGCTATGACACACACACTTACCCTTGGAAGCAAAAAAACCTCCTAAACTAACTTATTTTTAAGCTGTGGGGAGACACTTCAATTTCTATACAAGGCAGTCTTATTTAAATAACACCAGTTAAAGTTTGGATATAACTAAAGCTAATTAGGCAATGCTATTCAGTAATACCCACTTTGGAGTCAACTATATCAGACAGCAACAAATCCCATTGTGTCCCTTTACCACTTCCAGATTTGCCAAGAGTCGAAAGTAACTAATGTTTTCCCCAGTTCAGCTCACAAGAAAGTAAAAATCATTAATTCCTTTAAAAAACCATACATTTAAAAGCTGCTTGAGCTTGCCTTTACACCCCAGTAAGTTTATGTATTCATGATGTATTTACATTATTTGCTCAGTTCCAGTATTACACTTGAACTTAAGCCAAGTTATCTCTGTGTTTAACACACAATCACCAATTACTTTGATGCAGAGTTGTATTTTTTGTGAACCTTCTTACTATTACAGACTAGACAAGCCAGATGTTTTTTTCCCTTCTACAAATTCCATTCTAGTATGACAGGAAACATTCTAGTAACTAAAAAATATCTGATGAATTTAATATTCCACAGGAGGTCTTACTAATATATATCAAATTTTAATAAAGAGAATGCTATTACATCTGTGGCACCTCGGCCGGCTATTACACATACTGTTCTGATCACAGCTAAGTCTTGTTCAAAAGCTGTCATTAGCTACCCATAACTATGTGTCTTTTGCAGCTAACCATTTCTCGAGTAACTACCCTCCCCAGTACTCCTGGTGTCCTTCACTACACAGCTTTCTGTCAAAATAATCCCAGTTCACTTAACACTTTCCTGTTCAATAGTTCACTTGAGTTCAAACAGCAAGCTTAATCACAAGGACAAAGAAACATATCCAAGTGAGGCATTTGAAAATTTTAAGCTTAACTCACCTTTAAGCATATTACTTTTGATACTTTTGATAACTCATCTGTGTACGTGACTCACAACATGTACATTTTAACCCAATAAAATGTTACTGCACAGAAATAATGCTACACAATTGTTTTTTTCTAATATTTATTTTTTTTCACCTGCAAACTGTAGCAAAACATGATCAGCTTTATTATGCAGACAGGTATCCCTCTAACATTAGAGATTTAGGCATGTATAAATAGAAGAGCTCTTAGGAAAGGAAAACATTTTGAGAAATGAACAAACCTTCAATTTAACTTCATGACTTCCAATACCAATGGTTAAAATGATGTAGCTCATTCATTCCAAGAGATACAACAGCACCTTAAAGTGGCTGATCTATTTCCCAGTAACATTTTTCACATAACAATGTGTTAAAGTTACAAATACTGATATGCACAAATAGCTATTTTCTAAGAAAAATATGTACAGTACTGCAGCATAATGAATGTGGTATCTGCAATAACTTATTAGCCAATTTTAATATACATGATACCGCTACTTTTTACCTGCCAGTTCACAGGTTCAAGGATGTTACCACAGCCCTCTGTTTTGCACGTTATTACCTGGTGTGTGGGGGGGTGATTTTCTTGCTTTTCGTGTATTTTTAATTTTTTTTTTTTTAAAGGTACACAATGCAGGCTTTTATTTTTACTTCTTAAAGACTTCTTTTGTGTTTAAAGCTAATATCAGTGAAACAAGACAACAGTGCAAGAGGCGCAGAGATGTTATGTGACCACATAAGAGTTCTTTTGGGTAAAGTGTCTATAAGGCTATAAGAAAGGATTGGTTGATGAGCTTCCTGTTGGAAATTGTCCTGTTGGTGCACCAGCCTGGGGGAAAATGAAAGGAGAAAAATAAGACAAATATTTAAGATTTTTTTTCCATATTGTAAATGAGAAATGCAGGATATATAAAAAGAAAACAACCTATTATGAAATATTTCTGGTTTATGTTGCAGTTTGGTTTTTTTTGGTGGTTCTCTGAAATTACACTAATGTAAGAGCATGTATACATACAAGTATCTCTGTTTTGACTTTAACAGCCTTACAAATGCCATGTCATTGTATTAATAAATTGCATTTAGGAGATCCACATGCTGCCTTCCCTTATTTGAAGGAAAAAAAAAAATTGTGTGCTTCTAAATTGTGTTACAGATTATGCCTCTTTAAACATACAGAAGTTATTAATATCATGCAACAACTCACTTACCATAAAAGGGTTACTAGATACTCCAACAGCTGCAGCTTGTCCAAAAGGAGTTACTACAGGCTTTGCCTGTCCAAATGCAGCAAAACCTGCTCCTTGGAAAGATAAGTGAAAAATATTAATAATAGTAATCAGTCTTCAAAGAGTTCTTTGCTGCAGGTCCCACACAAAAATAAGTGGAAGCTTGGACTGCACAATCCTGAGGACTGATCCTATTTAAACACTATTGTGAATGTAAGTGTAAAAAAAAAAAAAAAAAAATATGGCTGGGCATTTTGGTTTATTTTCAACTGTTCAGAGCTAACCAATTTCCAATTTCTACATAAGCACTTTTTTCAATGTTATTTTATCATTTAAATTTAGGGAGAAAGTACTTTCTGAAGTTAGAGGAAGTATTATAATTGGTTGCAGACACTCCAAAAATGAAGACAAAACAATCCTTCTTGCATAAAAACCCTTTGAGATTATGGTAAAATTTCAGTTACTTTGCTGCACATAGCCAAGTCAGGAAGCTCAACTACAGAGCCAAAACAGTGTGTGAACCCCTCAACAATATCATTATGAAGTTCATATAGAAATAAATAAACACCCGTTATTGCTAACTTACAGAATCTCCGTGTTTCTGATTTAAACAAGATTATCTAAAACATATAGACCTACCATTTGGCTGCTGAGCAAAAGCAGTCTGTTGAGGGAAAGCTGCCTGGGTTGGAAATGTGGGCTGCTGGAAGTTGCCACTAAAACTAGTAGGAAGACTGTAGGACGCAGGAGTTCCAAATCCTGCAGGCATACTCATGGATGCAGTACCAAATGTTGCTGCTGGTCGGCAAAAAATAACATTAAATTATTTGTAAGAAAACACTTGTTTTGTTAGACAAATTACTATAATGCCATGTTAAGAAAAGTCTCTCAGTGCCTCAGTGACCCTACAAAAGTTAGGTTCAACTTCTACAGCCACCGAACTGATTTGTTAGCTTGGATCACCACCAACTAGGTGCATAATTTACTTTTGCACTTTAAAACTGAATGCAATAATTTAAAATGTACTAGATCCAGCACGTTCAGATATAGTTTCTGAAAAGAAAATTATTTTTTACATTATCTACATTATCTTTTACTTCCCCCAGAGTTTTTCTGGTAAAACTCTGTACACATCAGAAGCAAGCATAAGCCCCTCTGTTTTTCTCCTGAGAAAAGGATGAAGGGATCTTCCTACTTCAAGCTGCACTCCAGGAAATTACAAGTTAAAAAAAAAAAAAATCATAAGGGATACATGCATCCCCTCTCTCTTCATCCCATCTTTAATGTTGCTTTAAAGGAAACTTTCACCATGCACATTATTTGAACACAAAGTTCCTATTGCAAATGCTCTTACTGTTGAGGTAAGACTTAAAACAAACAAACAAACAAAAAAAAACCCAAAAAAAGCCCCCCAAAACTTTTAATCTGATTCTCTGCTGAACATTTCAAGTAAAGAACACATAGCTCATATGCAATTCCACATGCCTTCAGCAAATAAACAGGAGCACATCAAGTAAAAAATCTAGTAACAAAACCATTATTCAGTCTTTTGGGAGTTAATCTAGAAAGGATATGCATATAAAGGTTTTTTTGGTACAAATACAACCATCAGGCATTTCATTCTAGTTAAACATTTGACAGAACTTTTCTCTTGAAATGTTACAAGTTAGCTTTTATGCAAGCTCAACTGCTTAAAAAAATATATATATTTAATGGATATAGCCTAATTAGCATTTGAAAAATTTATACCAAAAGTACTTAAGGGCAAGACATTTTACATACATAAACTATTGACAAAGTATGCACAATTATTAACATTGTTCAAGTTACAGTAAGCAGAGAAGCTATTCAACAGGAAAACTTGCTAAAACAGCAAACAAAAGCACAACAAAATGAGCAGAGACTTGGGAGATCCCAAAAGGCATCAAGCTACTGTTGGTAGAAACCTCAAGAGTCACTCAACTTGTTATCATTACATTGTGACCATGGAAGATATCAATAATGGTTTTGTTTTAGTTGCTTAAGAGGTTGTCTATGTATGCTTTACTCTCCCTTTGCCCAGTTGCCAATACCCACACCCACTCCATTTAAAAAAAAAAAAAAAATAAAATGGAAAGTCTTTGGAAATTCTATGTGCAGAGAACCAGATAGCTATCAATAAGCTTCTACAAGCAAGAACAATTAGCCACAAGAAACTTGATACCAAATGTGGCCACCTACCAAAATGAGCCTGAGGAAATATGTGAGAGTGCATTGCTCCCGAGAGGCCTTATGGAAGCCACAAAGAGACCAGACAATGTCAAATCATTTATACACTCTTAAACAGTCATTTCTTAGTTTATATATATATATATATCTTTAAAATATACACACACGTATGTAGGAAACAATTTGTCCATAGCATGACCAGCAATAGATTAAGCTAAGAAAACCATTAGAAATAAACACTACAAAACAGATATCCCACCTAATAAATAGCAAAGTTCATGCAGAAAGAAAGCTTAGCATAAAAGGACAAGCTACAAGTTTACACCTTACACTGAAAGGGGCAGAACATTACTTATAGTCATTATCTCTGTCATCTAGTGACATAACATCCCTGTAACTGTCAAAGGGTTGAAACCCCTGCAAGCCAAGGACAGCAGTTTAGAAGGTAGAAGGATACAGTTGTGATATTCAAACAAACCATCTAAAGAGGTTACAAGTTGATTCAAAATAGCACAGCTGAGAATGAGATTAAGGAAAAATAGATTTTTGGCATTAAATAGCCGAACAAGTTTAACTGCCTAATATCTCAAAAGGGAGTGAAAACATAATTCATTTTAGCAGAGGACATGAATTTGATCAATTCACAGTTTTAACTCAGCCTGATCAGTTTAATACAGCCTTCCTAATATTTTGAGCAAAGTACAACTCAATGTTAAAATGCACACATTGCAGATTTAAACCTGTAGAAGTCCAGTTAACAGGCAAAAGTGCCAAAATTTAGCAGTGCCTTTGGAGAGGAAAATTTGCATAATCCAGCAGTCACCTAAATTCAAGTTCTGTGTTTTAAAAAAAAAAAAATGACAAGTTGCTTTTTTAAAAAGTGATTAAGCTTTTGTCTACAAAATTATGATTCTACAGAATCCTGCCCCAGAAAATTAATGTAATTCATAAGTGTAAAGATTATATTTAAACATATGTTTTACCGTTAAAAAAAGATAAAACTAAAAAACATCACCAATATACTGAATAAGTGGACTGATAAGGAGCTAACAGCCCAAAAGCCTTCTCTTTCCTGGTTCTAGCTCCAGCTCTCTGGTTTTGAGGGCTTTCAGGACTTTATTTTAAAGAAATAAATTTTAAAAAGCAAGCGTATCAGCTTAGCAGTAGGGCTGTCAAGATCCCTGATTTCAGGACAACATGCTATGAAGCATGCTTCAAAGCCAAGGTTATAGTCTTGGACATTACCCAACTGGTAATACACGGAATACACATAGTTTAGGTAGTATTAGAAGATCTTAAACATTTTGACATTTTTCATGGCCACCATTTGACATCCTAGGATTGGGCCAGAAACAGGAAAATAATGTCCTCAGCCCAATAAATAACATCACTTACCTAAAAAAAAAAAAAAAAAACAAAAAAAAACCCAACCCCCCCCCCCAAAACCAAAAACA